TTACTAACGGGATAACTAGGCTGGGGAAGACATTTACAACCTACAGAGCACAGATTCAGATCCAGAATACATGCAGAATGCTTACAAGTCAAGGAGAACAAGTTTAAATACCAGACAGGAAAAAATGACAAAGGATACGAAAGAAGAACTAATGAAACAAGGACTATCCAAGCACACTGGGTTTAGAGAGATGCAAAATAAAACAAGAGCTTCACCTTTATTCTATTGGTTGATGAGGAGGTTGGAAAACAGGAATGTGAACATGTCCCTGGTGGAACTGCAAAGTAGTATCATCTCCATAAAGAGAAACTGAGAAATATCAAATAAAGTTGAAGGTACCTCCATATCTTTGGTTCAGTAACTACACTCCTAGGTATCTGTTCTAGAGAAATCACACAAAAGCATAAGAAGATGTATAAATGATGATAGTTGTAGCATTGCATATGGTAATAACAGGTAGGGACAACTTAAGCATACTTCTTTTAGTGTAATGTATAAATAAGCTATGATTTAGCTATCAAGTAGTGGTATGCAGCATATATAAAACTAGATCTGTATGTAACAATGGGGGTCAAACTAAAAAAAACATGACACAAGTAAAAAGCATTCTATGAAAGAACTAAACAGCAGGAAAAGTTTTATGCAAATTTTGTAACATGGAAGTACTGGTGTATGTATCTCATATATGCATTCATATGTGAAGAGAGCACAAAAGTGGATGTGGGATGGCACACAGCTCTCTTATCATTAGGAGACATCTATTGGGGGAGAGAGAGGAAGGAGAGGGAGAATGTCATAGCTTTAATTTAGTGTTTAATCTCTTAAAACTGAAACACTTGAAGCAAGCATTGCAAATGATAATGTATATTTAATCTCTATGGCAGGTCTCTAGTTGTGCGCTACATTTTTGAGAACTCTTTTTTTTTACAGGTTTGAAATATTTTTTAATTAAGTCATTCAAAATATAACTAATTGGTACGACTTCAGGTTGAATGTGTTAAGGACATTGCCTCACCTTTCTTTTTAGCTCCCCCATTCCCTTTATCCTTCCATGGTAAATCCTGAACAAGCCTGATTCCTGCACAATGATAGACAGGAAATTTTCATGTCAACTGAGCAAGTGCATCATGAAGTCTTCCAGGCACAGAGAAGACTCCCTTAGAAAGTTCAGACCTGACCATGAATGGCAAATGCATCCGTGGTGAGAATCTTGAAGGGATAAGACACGTGGAGAGTCTGCAGATCAACAGCAGGAGATGCCTGTCTGAGGACCCAGAAAGCACTTTAGAGCATGGCTAAGGAGGAAGAGGTGAGGACATGGGAGGTGCAGAGCTCAGCCTTGTGGCTCTGCTTGGTTTCTTGGCCCAGGGAAGCTGGCACCGGCTCAGGTCAGGCTGGAGAGGTGAGCCCCTTTATGGCCAGGTCTGGACCCTCAGGGAGCCCTCCGCCGTCCTCAGGTCTGGATGAGGTGAGGACAGACCACACCAGAGCGGAGGCCAGCCGGCTCGGGGGGACTGTTTTCTCCTGTGTGAAAGACGACCGAGGCTCCCGGCAGGTAAGAGAGCTGGTGTTGGAATAAGGTTGCGTTGTGCCAACTCTGACCCATCCCTACCTCAACTCTGCCCTCTACTCCTCCACCCTCTGTCTCTCTGTCAGGAGACATATAAACTGGCTGGGACGTGGTTCTGAGCACTACCCAGGTGGAGGACCCATAGGAAGATGTGGTACTGATGAAGTGGGTGGGCTGGGATGGCATTTCTTGGGCTAATAGCCCAAGAATGGGTCACACCTTTGCTACCTGCATGGAGGGGTCACCTGCCTGTCAGTGAGCAGGGACACCATGACTGTGTGGGGTTTTCAGAAATGCACTCTCTTCTGGTTTTAGGAGGCCAGGAGTTGGTACCTCGTGACAGAAAAGGGTGGGTGGAAACAAGAGTGGGAGACGGGGCCAATAAATCTGGCAGAACTATGAGGTCAAAATGCTTGAATTTGACTCATATGTTTGTAAAATAATAAAAGGAACAAAATTTGGGAAATTGTGAGACATGTATCTGTTTCAAACCTTCACCCCCGCCCCCATTTTTATACCTCTTTTCTTCCCAATGTGTTTATGATGAAACTTTCCTTTGCTGTATGTCCAGTTAAGTGTCTAGCTCTTTGCAGAACTGAGTAAACTATTTCATATCACTTCCTTTTAAACTGAAGCATAGTGTTCTTTTCAGCTACATATCAAAAGGTAAACAAGTATGGAAACTTCTCTTTGAAGAGTCTACATGAGTCTGTTGCTAGTTAAATTTTCCTTGTAGAAATCAAACAGGGTTTCCTGTTGCATGTTTACTAAGCCCTTTTTCTCTATAAAGTACAAAATGCAGGGCTGCAATTTTCCCATTTGTTAATTTCTCCCATTGAGCTCATTCCTTCCTTTTAAATATCCTCTTACTTGTAGTCCACCTCATTTAGCAGTAAATATGGAGGATTACAAACATTCTTGTTCAATATAAAACATGGCAGGAAATTTAATTTCTTTAGTCGTGGGTTTTAGCTGTAATGATACTGTGCATTTGTATAACATCTCTGCTATGAGAAATATGAACTCCTCATTCATTATCTGGAGACAAGCACCATTATCATAATTTTGTATCCTATGTAACTGAGTCACAGGAAATGAACCAGGAATAAATCATACCTGGAGTGTAGCTTGCAGGAGAATATAGCAGAAGGGGAGGACGACTGGACTGTGCTGTAGACATGGCACACTGGTATGTGGTGAAGCTGCTCTGCCACTCAAGAGAGGAGAGGGCCCATTGTTTGGGATTGGCATGGATAAAGATGGGGTGGTGGTGAAGGCAGGGCTAGGTCATGGCTGATGCTGGATGCTGGATGAACTCAAGTCTTCCTTTATCCTCCTCGGGTGCTCTTCAGACTCACCTGTCCCTGTGGCCCTGGGCCACTGGCTATTTCTCCCCAGACCACAGAGCCCTGCTGGATGCTGAGCTCAGGCACAGCTATTTCTCTGGGTTGGCTCCAAGGCCATGTGAACCACTGTGGTCTTGAACACAGTTGCTCCCTGTCCTCTGCATCAACAATTCTCTGGTTCTGTCAACCTGCCCAGAATCTGAGTTGTTTAAGCCTTTATACCCAAAGATTTTCTCAATCAAACTAGCTTCCAAAAAGGGAGCTAGTGTTTTTGATGGAAGAAAAAAAAAAAGGAAAGAAAGAAACCCTATAAAAGCCATGACGTGAAGGATGCTCCGGTGTTTCTTTTGTCTCCCAAAGACTCATTTCCATGTGAGATTTTAAAGCCAGATTCCCTGCTGTAGGAAAATCCTGAGACTTGGTGGAAGTGGCAAAACAGAGAAAGTCCATCGACTCTCCTCTGGACTGGGACAAATACTTTCACAGCTCCCTGTAGACGGGATTTGTACCCTGGCAGTTGACTTATTTCCATTTGGATTCACCATTTATTTTAGTGTAGAAATCAATGAATGAATTCTGCTCTTAAAAAAAAAAAAACGTGCAAGATAATCAGCCCTGGAAACTGAAATCATTAATCATCACAAGCAGAAGGAATGCTGCTGTGTGACTGGCAAATTATGCAACTGGGGTATTGCATAAGAAAAATTAGAGTTATCTGCAGCGCTTAAAAAACTAGATATCCAAGCAAGCCCCTGTAGCTTCGTTGATGCCCACAACAAAGCAGGATGTGACCTTCCTGGCTTATTCTCAAAGGGCCTCTGCTCCAGTTCAGTAGTAGATCTATCTACCATGAATTTAGAGTGAGTTGTAGAATTTTGAGGGGGTTTCTCCCTTCCATTCCTCCATTTTATTCAGTTAGCAATGGCTGTAGCCAAGGTTGCTTTGATCAAAAAGGCAAGCAGAAGAGAAGCAGAAAGAGAACCTGCAAATATGTTGCCTTTTTTGGTGTCTGCTGGATGCAGGGCAAGAGACTCTCATGAGAACGTTAAGGAAGGAAACATACCATGTCTGTCACTAAAAGGGAAAAAATGTCATTGGGCCAGTAAGCATCGCAGGGAACAATGAGAGCTTCCTGGTGCCAAGAGTCAGAACAAACGTGTGAATGGGGACGAAGGGACATTGCCATGCTGAGCCTTTCACAGGACAATGCTCAATAAATGGAGGGATTCTTGTCAATATTTGGATAAGGAAACATGCCTCAGTCTGATTCTAAGGCACTGTATAAAAAATTTCTTGAGAAACTTGGTACAGTACTCACAATAACAACAAAAATAATACACTTGTAGTTTGGGGTGGCTATTCTCATGGTAATGAATGTGTTTCTACGGTGATCCCTTATTGTGAGCTTTGGGGCTACATGTCTCGGGCCCCCACATTGTGGCCACAGCTGTGAGGTTCTCAAGTCCTCAATGGACAGGCAGGGCACACTAAATTAGGAAAGATCGCTGCTTCATTTATCCACTACACAATTGATAAGCAGCAAGTATATTACTTGTTTCACGTTTTATTTGTTAAGGTCATTTTCAGCCAAAGCCCAGCACATGGACTTACATACAGGGCAGCTGTGCCTCCAGTCAACCCAGTGGGGAGAAAATTGCAAACATTATTGGAATGAAATTGGACGGATTGTTGCTTTCAAGGATCGAGCTCCCACCTGCTCTCCCCGAACCACCCATTCGGGGGGAAGTGGGTTGGTCTCTTAGCAGTCTCCCTGGGCTTCCCTCGACTCCATTTTGACCATCCTTTAAAAATAGACACTGAGGACTGAAAGGAAAACGCAATCATCCAAATCCTTGGTCTCAGGTTCTGAGAGGTTTCTGCTATCCTGGGAATCTAAAAGGAAAGCAGAGAAATTCAGTTGAAAGGGAAAAAAAAAAAAAGCTTTCTCCTTTCTCTTAGCGATAACAAAGAGAAAGAGAGAGAGAGAAGGAGAGAGAGAGAGAGAGAGAGAGAGAGAGAGAGAGAGAGAGAGAGAGAAAGCAGTAAGAGAGAGAAGGGAATAAGACTCTTTTCTATTTTAACACTTTAGTGTATAATGGCATATGAATAATATCATCATTTTTCTGCCATTTATTCAGATGTGAAGGAACTCAGTGAATAATAATAGCTGCTGTCAAAGGTATTTATATTTAAAAGGTCTTTATGTAAAAAAAAAAAATTTTTTTTGTCAGGACTGATTTTTCTCTGAGAGGATCCCTCCATCTCCTAGCAACCAATATGGCTATCTTCTGAATAGATGCCACATTTACAGTAGGTGCATAACCTTTATGTGGAAGCATTTGCAAATTTAGCAGTCAGGACTCATATGCATTCAAAGCGGGTTGTTAAACTGATCCCAGAGCCAGACTTGTGATAGAAGTCTCAGGGGGTCTCTTCTTTTGGCAAAACGGAACACATGTGATTTGCACGAATCCCCTTCTGTGTCGCTCCAGCCTCGCGTGTTCTGCAAATGAAAACGGCCCCTTAAATAACCCGTTCACAGAACTTTTATCTATTTTAAAAGAAGAAAAACAAGCTAACCTGAGAACATACCAAGATTTCACTTTGCAAATTACTATTCTAATGGAAAGATTATCTCTCAAGAAAGAAAATGTCTAGCAGGAGTTCGTTTATTTAAAAAAAAATTTTTTTTAGAAGAGTAATGGAAACATTTGGAATTTTCAATTCTCTCTTTTGCAACTGTATTTTGATTATTTGTAATATATTAATGTCATTTTCATTCCTGCTAAATCTTACAGTAGGGACTTGGTGCATATTCTAAAAAATATTGGCTAAGGCTCCTAATCTCACTCTGAGATAAATGTTGTAATAACCAGATTATAAATGAATCATCTGAGCAACATTCAGAGAAGGAGAGGAGATATCCAGGGAAGCAAAAGTGGCCTCCTTGACTTCTCGTTCTATGGTCTGTGTTTGATGGCAGAATGGATATTGTCATTAAAATAATAAATGTGTTTATCTTATATGGCATACACCCTGTCAGAACGAGCTCATGGTTTTAAAAGAAGACCATTCTAATGATTTTAAGAACTCTTTAAAAATAAACTCCCTGAAAACAAACTCCTGTAGGTGAAGTTCTCATTATATAGAAAGGAGTGTACAAGAATCTGGGCCAACCACCAACATGTGATGGAACCTCAAACTGGCGACCAGAGCCACAGCACACAGCTCTTTGTCCTGAGACACCAAGGACTAAAGAAGCAGACTTCAGGCAAGCAAGCTTGCCATCAGCTTCACCCCTCCTCCCTCCTTCGCCAATTTCCATCTCTCTGCCCAGAAGAATTCAGATAGCTAGATATGGTACTTTCTCATTTATTGAGTCATTTGATTTAGTTTTAATTCACTCTCCTTGAATGTAACTATGCATGTCTTCTCTTTCTTTGTCCCCCTGCCCCCAGAATCTTGTATCCCTTATTACAATGTTCCCAGGAATTTGTAATAACAGTCTCAGAAAGCTCTGGAGGGTTTTGCTTTATCTCACTGATCTTGACAATGACCTTGTAGAGGTATGTTATTTTTTATTAACACCATCATGTTTCTACCTAAGGAAACTGAGCTGTGTAGCGATTACCTGGCTTGCTGGAGCTCATAGAACTAGTAGCAGATGGAACTGGAATTCAAGAGCAAGTCAACTCTGGAAGCCCTGGATCACAGCTCTTCTCAAGGGGAACTGGGACGGGGCTTCTTGAGGCAGCCACTGTGGGAGGACAGAGGTAGAGAGGAAGCTAGATCTGGAGGGAACCCTCCTTTGGTGACCAGGGAGTCAGGGAGAAGATCAAGGTCCTCCCTCCAGATGTCACCCGACTCAGGAGGGTGACTCCGGGCAGGATCCCCAGCCCTGACAGCCCCAAGGGGCACTGCAGGCCTCTTGCAGGTCCTGGAGATGGTCCCTTTGTTGGTCAGGTCTTCATCTTCAAGGCAGAGGTGCCAGCTGCATCTGCAGACCAAGAAAGGCAGCATCTCAGCCTTCACTGCAGACGCACCAAGGGAGCAGCTCACCTGTGCTGCAGAGAGTCAGTGTTTTGAAGCCTTTTGGAGATGCTTAGCCACTTTAAACCCTGGAGAACACCACTCCAGAAGCCTTCCCTGGGGGATGTCTAATGGGAAGCTTAATGCCTGAAATCTCACTCTGTGTGGACTCTTCCTTACCTGTCCCAAGAATCCTAGATCCAGGTGCAGCCTTTTCTAGAAGGATTTATTTTTATTAGTACTTAAAGTGGACGACCTCCTTTTAACTGACTTTCTAAAATGCATTGACTTTACTCCTATAGTTATTTTAACTTTAATGTGAAGTTTCTAACTATGCACTGAGAATTAATATGTTCCCAGGCTTCTGAAAGATACTTTGCTTTTTGAAATAGATGTGGAAAGAGAGAGAAGCATGCTTCTGAGAAAAGAAAAAAAAATTCATCAAATAAATTAGGAAGGAACATGTTTTGAAATATGTGTTAGATATGGGTATTGATTTATTCTAGGAAGTGTCTCTGTACTTCCCATACAGGACCAAGAAGGATGGTTTGTAGAGGCAGTCATAACCCCAAGGCTGGTTTAGGCGTCTTCCTGTAAATAGAAGACAGTAGATCAATTTAGTTTAGAATCTAGTTAAGGCAGAGAGAAAAATCAGATTGGTTATCTGTGGTTGTTAGGTCAGTCTGCTAATTGCAAGAGACGTTCCCTTTTAATGATTTATTTTGATATTCTAGAGAGGATTTTAAAATCACATGGTTGTGAATTATTTATTCACAGCTACAGCGTTGGGAAGGTGGACTTACTGTCCTTCACCCGTGGAGCTTTATGTATGCTGAAAAAAGTCACCAGTCATTTCAACATTGAGAAGACATTCTGTGTCATTCTTGCAGGTCCTAGCCCTAAGCACTTGCAAATGCGCGCGCACACACACACACACACACACACACACACACACACACACACACACAGAGAGATAAACTGCCTTTATATCAAATGTGCTACAAAACTTAGTTCCAAAGTATGGGAGACAACAAAGCATCTTTTCCGTGGTTTCCGTGCCTCTTGAGGTCTTTCCTTTATGCGTGGGCACGATGGGAAACCAGGGGGGAAGCAGCTCCAGGGAGCAGCTCCACCAAGCTAAGTGAGCTCACCAAAGACTTCCAGAGTAAGTGTCTGCTCTCATCAAGTTTCCTGGTTCTGTCCAGAGCTCCTCCACCCCGACAATGATAAGTGGGCGGAGGGCGACGGGAACACCGCTTTCCCCATCCTCCAGAGCGCTCTGTTGAAGCCTGAGCCTCAGCTAGGGCTGAGTGCATTGTTTCCGCTCCGTTCTATTTTAATAGCTCCATATGGAGACAATAAAGCGACATGACAAATAGCCTCTGGGTAGGCTCCAGTGCTTTCTCTCTGATTCCCATTCATTCTCCCTTGTCAGGGTACCAATCCCGTCCCCAAACTCTTCTCCCAATTTATAGAGCTTGAGCAAATACATTTTTCATTTGTACCTTACTGGCAATCTGACTGAAAACAGCAAAGCCACCACTAAGAACTTCCTCGTAAGTAGCTTTTCTTTGAGGAGAAGGGGAAACATTGACTCAACTAGGTTAGGAAGATGCTGAACGCCGTTACCTTTATGGGATCCTTTTCATTTAATTCCTTCTTAGGATCCATTTTGATTCTATTTTTAGTTTGCCACCGAGTCTCCTTCTTAAAGTGTTGACTTTACTGCCATCTTTCTGTTTCCTAAAATGCAGGCAGTTTTCCGGGCATTTTACTGGTGGAAGGTTTTATCTTGATTTTCAGACAGTCTGAGGCTTTTTCCTTTGTCGAAATAATTCAAAATACTTCAAGTAAAATGTATTCATTGTGGTGTTCAATCTGATTACTTATCATCAAGGCCGTTTGGATTTTCCACTTTCCTGCACTAATGTGCTACTCGGCAAAACAAAATTGCAAAATTCACAGTTTCAGTTTCTGAAACGATGGTGGTGGATAAGGAGAGAACTTTCCCGAGACAAATAAGAATTTAAGTAAGACAACGATCGGAGGGGCACATCAAGCTCTCTGCCATCCAGCAGGATTGGGAAATGATTGAATCAAACAGTTGAGAAAGGAAGTTTAGAAAAACAATCACCCTCCAGTGCTGAGCGGAGCCCTACCTGACCCTGGACCAAGATTTCAACCTTGATTTTTAGAGTCCCAAGGGTAGAATTCCTTTGCTCCCTTGGTACTCACACAACTGTCTTTCCCAGCAGTTGTGGCCTCCGTGTCTCATAAGCAGGTGAAGATGGATGCCACAGTCACTACTGGGACTCAGAGAGTGTGTATAGTGAAGGAGGCCCATCCCTTCATTGTTTCTTTGGGACTTCTGTATAATCGGGGCCAGGATTTCGGTATTATTGCAGGGACTCCAGGAATCTGGCCACTCTGCCCTCTCCTCTTCTCAGGGAGGACCTCCGGAGTAAGGTGAGACTGGAGGCCAACTTTCCCGCTCTCTCCCTGCCAGGGGCCTTTCTAATCTCCCCACTCTCTCCGGCCCTCACCTCGCTGCCATTACCTAAATGCACAACCTGTTACCTCTTTCTTGATTCTAGTCCTCTTCCATCCCAAATGCCTCCTGGGTTCTCCTTTACTGTGAGGACAAAGACCAAACCCCACACCAAGCATGAATGTCCCCTGGATGTGGCTCCAACTTCCCTTTCCACCCTCATCTCCACCCACAGAGTTGGGTGGGTGCCCTTCCCAAGGTCCTCTCCGCCGTCCTGCATCTGCTGCACATGACTAGCTTCCCTGTGTATGGTCACCGCTTTTTATGGGCCCCTCCACCAGATTCTGTAAACATGAAACCCATCTTGTTCGGTGGCGTGTTTCTCCAGTCATGCTTGTCGCCTGGTTCATTGTAAACTGCAAGACATCACTGGACAGGTCCTCGCCCTGAACACGTCTGTAGGCTGGGAGGACGAGGGCTGACCCCAGGCCGTGTCTGTAGTACATTTGCCATCACTTATGAAGCCTCAGAGATACTCTTAAGATTGCTGTCTGGACTGTCAAGATTCAGGTTGTCATCATTACTGCCAAACAAAACTCACACCGGAAATTCATACCAGAATGAAGCAAGATTGAAATATGGGGGAAACAGGGCCCCATGTTCCACATGACGAGCATTAGGATCTTCCTTGAATTTGCAGTTTATGGGCAGGAGACCTTGATGACAATTTCCTTAATTTATGCAGGTGGCTCTCCCGAACTTAGAGGTGGGATATCAGGGGAGCCAGTGGGAGCTGAAGGAGGGGCGGCCAGGCTGCATGGGGCCTGCAGTGTTGGGGGGTCAGAGATGTGGTGTCTGAGGCAGATGGAACATTGAGTGGAGGTACAAAGAGCAAATGTGCTCCAGAAACCAAAAGAAGGCAGTGTGAGGAGCCATGCTGGGACCAGAGGACCCAGTGGGACCAGAGGACACAGGGGAGAACACGCATCAGATAACACAGGGCCAAGTGAGCTCCTCGGAAGAATCTCAGACTGTACGTTGGGAAAATGAGGAGCAACTGAGGGATGTGACGCATCAGAGGGCCAAGTCATGTTCGTGTTTTCAGAAAGATAATTCTAGAAAAAGGAATGCAGTGTCCAGGGGAGAGACCAGAAAAGCAGGAGGGACATTTAGGGTTCTGGAGGGAGAAGGTGTTGAGCATAAGCAGAACCCTGCAGAGACGCTTAGGGAAGAGAAAAGTGTGATGTGACCTGGGGTTGGCTGGGTGGGAGGAGAGGGAAAGAATAACAGAGTAAAGGTGCTGCCCTTGTTTCTGGCAAGGCCACAGGGGTTTGAAGGGCACACCACTGCCCACTGGGACCAAACCAGTTTCACGTGGGAAGTGTGGAACTGAGAGTGCTCCAAGTAGAGGTGCCCCCTGGGCGGTTGGCTCTGTCACTGTGGAGTTTGGGAGCTCCTTGGTTGGAGAGTTAGATTGGATAGTCCTCAGTTGCTGGCAGCTATAGAAGTATTGAAGCTCTTGGAGTAAGTGAGACCAGTCCCTGAGGCTGGATGGAGGGAGCAGAGAGAGACTTCAGGGTGGAAACTCACCACCTTCCAACATCTGGGGGGTTGGCGGGAGGGCTGCTGCACAGCAGACCCAGAAGGCCAGAGCGGTGGCCGGAAGGTGGCAGTGTTGGAGGGCTGGGTCCTGGACACCTTGAGGAGTTGGTGCTGGCCTACAGCAGTGGACCCACAGCAGGACATGCATCTTTTGAAAATGACCTCAGGAGAGAAGTCTGGGTGCAAGGCAGAGGTAGTGGACTGAAGGCCAAATGGAAGACGAGGAAGCCGACCAGGGAGAAGGATCCTACTTTCAGAAGGTGGGCTGGGAAGGAGGCATTGGCTGGGCCAGGAGATGATTTGAGTCCAGGCCTCCTTCCTTTCCTCTCTTCTTTCATTGTGCCTGACTTACTTTATTGGACGTGTACCTGGCACGGATTCAGCAAAACACTGAAGTTGAAGGAACCGAGAAGGTGGTGATGATGCCGATGGGCGACTGTGGGGCAGGTGCACGGAGCACTGCATGAGTCCAGAGGAAGAGATGGCTTTGTGACTTACCTTGTCACAGGGATGCTCAAAGGGGCCTTTAGGGGCAGTGGAAATGGTGCTTAGTTGACTGAGGTCCTGAAGAAGCAGAAGGGATGGAGTCAGGAGGGCAGCAGACCAGGTGACCCTAGGAAGAGGGGCCCGTCTTCCTAGACACCAGGCAAGAGGGCAAGGAGGGGCGAGGCCATGGGAAGACCACGAGGTGCTTGAACCCTTCAGGTCTTCCCGTGCAGGCCTGGCCTGGCCAGGAAGAACCATGTTTATGAACCGTGCTGGAATGCTTGCTGACCCTCGTCCAGGAGCTGGTCGCATTTGGCCAAAGTGCCACAGATACATGACTGAGTGGGTCGCCCTCTTATCTCTGCTTCCCAAGCCCAAACAGGCGGCACAGCCCATGGACCCGAGGCCGCAGCTCTTCCTGTTTACCATCGCTGCTCAGGGCCTCTGGCGGGCTCCTGAGGTACAGGGAGCCTTGGGAAAACACAAGGAAACAGGGGCTTTAAAAACAAGCAAGTGGGTGACATGAGAATCTCTGTGCTGGGTGCTGGGACAGTGGAAGTGCTGACTGAGAGGCCCAGAGAGTGCTGGGAGGCCTGCAGGAAGCCCTCCAGGGGACCTGGGGACAGTGCTGCTAGTGCCCTCTGCCTGGAACTGCGCGGCCTGGCCTGAAGCCTTCAGATCTTTTCTTGTTCCCTGTTCTGCAGAGTCTGCTTGATCAGGACGATGGTGAGAGTGTGGCCAGCCAGCCTCTGACCCAGCTTCCGACCCTCATTAATTTGTAATAGAGTCGATGTTGTTGCTAAATATAAAACAATTTACCTGCACTTAGGAAGGAAGCGGCTCTATACACTGTGCGGCCACAGGGCGTGTGTCTGTTCTGCTTCCCCCGCTGGGTCTCTTCCCAAACCCTCCCTCGGTGAGACACCCCTACCTGGTGCGGTGAGAGGCAGGTGGGGATGGTGGCTGCTCCCTGCCCTTTGTCGCCCCTCCTGCCCCTCCTGCCCCTCCTGCCCGCTTCTCCACTTCAAAGGAACACACTTCCACACGGGTTTCAAACTATTCCTGTATCAGGAACAATATATTTCTAAGCTTCTACATGCATCCAAGATTTGTCTCGATGTGGTCCATTTATTTTAATTTGGGACTGTCAGCGGGGGAAAAAAAGAAGTAATTAAACTTGTGACGAGCATGGAAAAACATTTTAAGCCCTGAGGCTGCAGAGTGATCTCCCCCAGTTTCACTCTATTTCTTCTACTTGTCAGATCAAAGTCCCAACCCTTAAAACTCAGCCATGCTTTGATTAATTACTTCATACAATGAATTTTGCAAATTATAGTTCTATGTGATTTATTTCATTTTTAGCTTCAATTGGAGCTTTTCTTTTTCTTTCTTTCTTTTTTTTCTTTTTGGTTGCCGTGTTCACTGAGCCAGTCAGCCTTCACCTTGGAGAAAGCAGGCTTTAAAAACTACGTCACAGGGTTCTGTGTTTAGAGAAAAGTTAGATGCTAGTGTTTCCAATGGCATGTTATCGTCTTGATGAGAATATAGAAAACACCCGTCCTTACTCGGAGATGGGATTTGAAGAGATAGCTTCCCCTTTCTACCATCTCCAAGTCCCTTGAGCCCGGTCTCACTGTTTCCGTCATCTGCTTTCCCACCTGAGTGATTCAAGTGGGAGACAGAAAGCATTGCTTTTAGGCTTCTCT